TCGGTGAGGTTGGTGCAGATGAGTGAACATCGGATGTAGCTGCGCGGGACGAAATGGGTTGAAACGCAAAGTCATACGCCCATTGAACACACAAATCATTTTCAACTTTTAGCATCAATACACCTAGTGCGATATAGATTTATCCAACAGAGATTATTAACTTAACAAATATAAGTTTCGTGTGAGTAATGGAGGATTTGATTCAATTTCAAAGTGAAAATTCATCGTGGTAAATGAAGCGTAAATTGAAAAGCCAGGAAGCATTGAGCAGCTGTTTCGATCTGGTTTGGTCTTATCAGCAGTAAGAATCAGTCGACCCAACTGGATTGTGCTATATCATGTAAATATAAAATGAAAAACGGTCTGATCAGCTGCCCGGTAGCCAAGTTGGTAGCATGCCCAAACGCATGAATTGTCAGATGCTAGGATGATGGTCTATACGGCATGGAAGTAACAGTTCAGATGATGATGATGATGGGGGGGGAGGAGAAATATCACCTGCCAATGGTCGTTATATTCGCTACATAAACAACCTGCTGTCAGGACAAAAACTTTATTGTCTGTAAGGATGCTAACGATATGGTAATTGGGTGCCTCTCCGCTAACGATGTATCTTTCGACCAAATTAAAGGCAGTCTGAACAACCTTTTTAGTTGATCCCTGCCCCGATCGGTTCGGCTTAATCTTTTCAGATGTGTTGATGTTCCCTTCAACCTTAAATTTGGCTCCCGGAATCAAACTACTTTTAATGATTTGCCTGACCTCGTAGTTAACAAGTACAGTATTTCCAAAGCTGACCCTGTTAAGTACCTCTGCATCGGTCTGTTCCACAGTTTTTTTCGTGGACTAGCCATAGAGAACGTGTACAACTTTCTTCCTATACTTTCAGGCTTTGGAAACTTGCTTTTTCCCTAAATTTATGTTCGCATGCTTTCTCCCTCACTGGTTGTACTGTTCCTCTGTATTTTTTTCTCGGCCTGAAATGAAGAGGGTTTCATATTAATTTCCTGATCCATAAAACTCCTTTCCTGATGTAGTCGCATAGCCAGAAATATTCTGGTAAATTTTATGGTGTGCTAGCATATCGAGGCATGAAAAAGAATAGCTAATAGAATCTTGAACAACGGATGTCACTACTTTGCACTGTGAACTTCTTTCCAGGCAGCCTTTGTATGGCTGCGCCCCTCCTTCCTGAATGTTGACTATATTTGTGTATTCAATAGATAAAAGAGGAAGTAAAAAGACATTATTATTATTACAATTATTATTATTATTATAAATCCATATTAAACATCGTACCAGCTCTCATTATAAACTCCTTCCCGCACGCACCATCACATATAAAAAGAGCATCCTCCGTTTTCTCGGCCGCTTTTTTGTGAACCGGGCACCAATTGTTATAGGTCTGGTGAACATCTCATGAGTTAGTTTATCTATTTGTTTTTTAAACTATCACTAATGTCTTCTTTCTCACAGTGGTCTGTCCTGTTTGCATACCCTCTTGATAACTGTTTTGCGTTTCCTCCATTTTTACCGTATTCTCTTGAAAATTCACCCTTTGGGTGTATAAAGCCTGGTTTGACTTGAAAGAAAACTTGCTTTGACTTGACAGTTGAAAAAGCCACAAAGATAAACTTGTCCCCACCACATACAGTTATAGATGGGAAGACAAGGTGAAATAATGAAAAGGTGGGGAAAAACGGGAAACATTCATGCACGTTTCACTGAGATGAAATCCTACCCGACAGTCCTTTTCCTCTTTCATCACACTCAGCGCAACAAATCGTTAGACCACAGACGGAACCTGACCTTTTTGATGAAAACAGTTTCCAGGCTGACAAGGACGCATTGATAATTTTAGGAACAAGTACTATCTGTTTCTGAGGGCATGCACAACCTGCCTATTGCTATAACGAAATTGGCTAAAGTCCTTTTAAATCATTCGGTTTGAGTTGGATTCGTTCTGTTGGAAAGTAAGCTTTCTCCCTCTATGTGGATTGTCATGGATATTCGCAAAATAAAGAACCCTCGTTAATTGTATCGTCATATGGATTTTTGTGGAAGCAAGCGATGAAACACCCTTCCGTCATCAACTGGTTACATTGTCCACCGGCCTTTTAGATGTGAGACCCATTGTCCAGCGACCAATCGATATCAGTTGTGTATCCATTGTCTACGGTAAGTCGTATGTAATACATTCATTTGCTGTTTTTTAACTCTGTATGCATGTAAGAACGGATTCTGTGTTACCAACGTCTTCCGAAAAAAATAGGGACGGATGCATCGGGGCGCTTTGCTACATTGAGAGCGTGAATGAAAAGAAAATGAACAGTGTTCACAGATAATGTAGTACGTCCTGATTCTTAGGGTTCTGAAGAGCTATTATAAGAGGCTGAGAAACACACCCTGCGCCAAGGTAATAGCTAGAATGGAACTCACTTGTATAGTCATTTATTTAACCATGTTTGAATTGTGAAAATTTCAGCAGCCTCGGTGGGATTTGAACCCACGCACGGAAATCACCTGCTCTTTTGTTCTACCTGCTGAGCTATGAGGTCTTAAAGTCAGTATTGATCTTTTTTGTGGATTCTCCACGTGACTCTCCATGACTGCCACCTTATATCCTACGTGGTGGATTCCACACACTTCTGAGAATTATGCAAATATTTTTCGATTCCTCCTCCGAAGAAAGAAGAAACCATGTAACGAATAGTTTAATTCAAAATTCCCCTCGAATCGGGTAGCTCAGTTAGGAATGTTTCCATCCGGGGTCACAATCCTGTAAGCTAATGCAAAGATGAGCGAAGTGCATTGTTCACAACATACTTTGCTCACAAATATTCTGTGTTATGTCGTGTTTAGAATAAGTGATACAGTCTGATAAGGTGCATGATGGTCAATCTGTGAGGTCCCAGATTCGACCTCCATTTGGGTCACTGGTTTCACACTCCCGAAAGGACTAAATGAGGTCGAAACAACTGCTCCAGCGGGGGGTCCATTTATTCAGATTCTGATTGTTACCTTGCTCTACGCACCACGAAATTCGATTCAACCCTCCACTGTTCCCTCAAAAAGATTTCAGCTCTTGACCAATCTCTCGATTCGTTCAGCCGAAGCTTACTATGGCAAAGCACTATGGAGCGTAATTAATTCTGTTTAGTTACGATGGAAATATTTGTGATGACCGACAAAGAGCAGTGGACAGCTGTTCCGTCCTGTTCGGGACTCGTCAGCAATGCGTACATTTTATGTCTCTGTCAGGACTCGAACGGCGGCCATCAAGAATGCCTGATGCCTCTGAACAATCGAATGGGCTGATCCAAACTTGATATTATAAACATGATTAATTTCATTTAGAACAAACTCATTTCAATGCCCATGAGATCGAATCTTTGCCCATCGATGGTTCAATACGATGTGCAAAGTATACTTATCTTTCTACGGGATGACACAACGAGACATTATGATGGTTAACGGGAAAACGAGAAAAATTGAATTAAATTATCCCCGATATACCATCAAATGAATGGCCGCAATGAAGGAGTTCAAACCATGTTTTTGAATGTTTTTTGTGGGGGTAATGTGGACTTCCGTTATGAAACAGCAAGTCTTCTTTGTGACCATGGATTTCACAGCTTCCTTTACTCAACATCAAGCCATACCGAGCAATGTCATTGAATGTGGTCAACAGATAACCATCCCCCTGAATAGTACATATTGCTCCCTCGCTGGGTGATTTTGTCCAGGAAATACACCCACCTCGTATGTTTCAGTTAGTCTCGAAGATCCCAGCTGATCAGGGTAGACCTTCTTATGATAAATATTTCCTATTTACTGTCTTGCTACTTTTATAATCAATAACTCTTTGTTTCACCACCACAGTAAAGTATATTGCACAATGCCTCTCCGGTGAGTGAAACAATTCGCTAAATATTTGTTTATTCCCTGTATTGTTTTTCCAAATTCATTCATATTCAATCCAAAATCATTTTTCCAGTCGTTATTAAGCCCCATAGAATGTACCATCACAGTAAGATTTTAGTTCAGACCGCATGTGAGTAGCTCATTAATCGACTTCACACCTATTGAATAATCCAGAGTGTCTATCTATCTGTTCCTGTTTTATGCTTTCCTTTTTATATCGATCGATAGGAAACCCACATCAACCTATTCTAGTTAAGTGACTCTTGTACATTCTAACCAGTAATAATTATCTCAGGGTATTCTACGATATAACCTATCGTACTTGTTTATTTACAAGTGTTCCCTCGTAAAAAACATTCATACTATCAAGCTATTGCAGCCTTGACAATGTTGTGCTTCCAGTGAATTAAAACATCATTAATCTCTCCATCTCTCTGTGTATCGCAGTCAGATTTTTGGCTTGCTATTTGACTTTGTGAAAAAGCAAAGAAGACTCGAGAGATGTATGTTTCTATTGGAACACCAACTTAAACTCCATCACGAATACAAGTGTGAAAATCGATTTAAGCGAGCATTGATCATTTTTGGAGGAATATTGCAACAAAAAGCTTCCTATCAGAAAAAGAATCGTTTTGAAGACGCATCCAAATACAATTCAAATTGCCACAAACAAGGGAGTGAGGATGTTTTACGTCTCGGAATTAGGGCGTCGGTCCAGTCCGGAGAAGTACTTTGTTATCACAGTCTCAGTATCTGTTTCATTGTTTCCGACTCTGTGGTAGGTTTTTGATCACGATGGACCCGAAGATTGTGCACATAAATTGCCTGTCAGCGCACCACAAGGAGCAGTGAAAACAAATTCTGTTTGCTTCCGTTTTGGCCAGAATGCTAAGAACGAACCTGACATCAAACAGTGTACGCGCCGGTGCGGTTATTTTCAAAAAAAGGTTGGATCGATTCAACTGTCTGTAGGTCAGCCGGTTGGCGCTCCGGGATGGGCTAAGTCAGTGGTATTCGTTTTCACCCCGGGAAGAATAAAGTAATGTTATGAAAACCAATTTGAACAACATCAACCTGTCTCCCTGTCCCTACCCTCATCTCGTTATATTGATCCAAGTCATGGATGAATGAAATGATGTTTGTGGATTTGATACCAGTTTAGTTGCTATGCGTTACTTGCCGATTGATCACCGGGGGTGGCGGTGGGGGGTAACCTGATGTCTCGTTTTCTACAATCGGATTACCGAAGTAGGACTGATCGAATCCTATACTAAAAATTCTAGGATATAAGTCTTTATTCGAGTAAGGTGAACTATGTTCAGAGAATATTTTGCACAAGCAAATCGGGCATAATCAAGAACCGTTGTGTTTCTACCTAGCATCGGGGATATATGTTTTGAATACAACAACAAAAATCGGATCGGAGACTGATCCAATATTTATATGGGTAATTATTTTTTAATGTATTCGTGTTACACAGCATTAGTGTCATTGATATTTATGTAAGAAAATAGCGGAAAGGTGTTGTGTTGGGGTCACATATTCAAGGTCAAATGATTATAGCAACGGAATGGAATAGGAACACGGTTGTCTCGTGTTCAGATAAGATCGGATTACTTAAGAGTTGATAATTAATATGGGTTATCACGACGCTCATGTGTGATGTTTTCCGCTTTGGAAAGTTTAACTACCTCAAGAAATGTTTTTTGAGCACACAATTCTGGTTTCAACAAGGGGATGATAATTTCCTCGGATTTTGCTAGCGTTTTACTTCGAACAGCTTTGGATTTGTGTTGTGGTATGTGATAAATGATGGTGAAAGCCGAATTATCATCCAGCCTATCTCCAGTCTAGACCAAGTGTGCAACAAGCAAACTGGAAATAACTCCGATACCTTCGAGTCTAAGTGGATTGATGTTCCTTGATGCGGTTTGATAACTGCCTTATCGTACGACCTCCATAAGTGGCACAACAGGTGCACTTCAATTTGTAGATGAGCATTGACGAGGTCAATATAGACAACGTATCCTTGTTCTGACATCGGATGACGGGTGATGTCCAGAACACGCATCTGAGTTTGGCAGCATTGAACATTGTTTCAACTGCGGCATTCAGGACTCTAGTAACCTTTTCAGTTTCTGGATTTCTTTGAACGAAAGTTTCATAACCAAAGTCTTTTTCTCAGCTCTGTCTACAACCACCTGTTGGGTTCTTTCAGACCAGTTACGATTGATGAATGATTTTTTATGGAATGCAATGGTACAATCAATTTCTAGGACGAGGTTAGATTGAGGCTACTAGAGTCTAGGGTCAGAGGCAGAAAGGAAGAGTCGGAAGGCGGTTGTATTCGGTATAATGGTGATCGGAATCACTTCAGTACTCAAACGTCTCTATCCAATAGGAACCAGAAGTAGTATGGCAAAAAAGAAAATTTCAACCATTGATCCAAAAGTTCTGATTCAGAGTGACTGTGACGGTGATTGGTTGATAAATTCAATCCATCTGTTTACCATTTCATAGATTTTGAGTTCAAACCCAGCCAAAAGTCTCCCTTTGTTACCCGATAGTCTTCAACTGGTTGCGATCTCCATCCTGAATGCATGCTGTCGGTGTAAATCTCAAATGATTATCGATATTTTTAGGGCAGCATGCTGGATCCGTTAGAAAGTGATTTTTCTACATCAAGGGATCCGATTGGCTAAATAACATCCTCTTATGACAAGGAATAATTGCAGCGAAAGTGCCAGTGAATTCTATGCAAACTTCACCCAACTCTATTATATTTAATTATGAAAACAATTTGGGAGTTTATATCACAGAAACACTTTCTTGACTAAGTCAATGGGTACACAGAAATCAGGTCTAAACAAAAATATAGATCAATGTGATTGAAATGATGAGCACATCGATCATGGTGATGAAAAAAGGAAGGATTTACTGGACTTTACTATTCGTTTGAAGGAACGCTGTCCAGATGTGACCTTGAAAATCACGAGGAAGCACTTCGGGCTATCACCGAAGTTTACCAAGAAGGCATCTAATAACTCATGCCCTCTTGGGTGCGTAGGATTACCACTTTCGTGACAATTTCGAAGTGCAACAAACCAGGGACAGTTGTGGAAAATACTTTCCATAGTAATGTGCACTATTGGTAAGTAGAAGAAACCAACTCACATGCCAGTTTGGAATACAAAATTCAGCTTGTGCACTGCTGTTCTATTAGTGACACAATCGATGTCCGTAAATTCTATGCTCTGATCAAACGCACTTTACGAGCTGTCGAAAATAGAATGCTTTGCACAGAATGATGGTCGTTCTAGATGAGGTCTCATATCGTATCTCACGTCAGCTTATGCTATTTTGAGATGTCATTAACAACCATTACCAACAAATACATACAGATGCACAAAGATTCAAACAATCGAAGACCGCCAAGTGGAGGACGGTGTGCGAGATATCATCGAGTTCGGAGATCATGCGCTGAGTCCGAATTAAAGGCTGTGATGTGGGGAGGCGTCAGTAACCTG